ATATATATATTAATTAGTGCTTAATCTGTTATTCTGGTCCAGACAGAAATATCTCAACTACGGGATCTACTGCCATGACATATTCTCATATAATATTGCTCCCTCTAGCGCCACCATGAGGAAATGCATGGAAATACACATGGTGATGGATAATCGAGGAATACATGTGCAATGTTTTCATTTAACTAAGAGCAGTAACTTATGATAAATTGTTAAAAAGAGTTTAAAAATTGCCCATTTTGTAATCAAAGAAATCCTATAAAAACTTCCAGATTCACTAATCGTTTGCCCATAGTTAAAAATGTTCCAAAATTTATAGAAATTTGCTCCAAATTGTATTGAAAAAAAACATCTATTCTGTGCTTTGAATCTAAATTTGATGGTATTTGCATACAACGAAATTATGCTTGTTGCAACTTTGTGTCAGCCGTTTGTGGCCGTTTCCTGTTTAACATGATGTGTACAAAGTCCATAAAGAATTTTACCGGTTTGTTTTAGAAGAACTGGTAGAAATGAATGGAAAGGCGACTAGGAGCCAGGCCTCATCACCCAACTTTAGTGGCTGACCTCACTTATGATCCATAGCAAGGTTCCAAAATCATAGAATAGAAGGGTGGAATGTGCACATTTCACTCAGTTGCCAGTTTATTAGGTGCACACAGCTAAAATTACAATATATCCTCAGAACGGTTTGTGTCTCTTTTACGAACTGGTAATCATTTTTTGAGCGTTCTCCCGGGCAAGACCTTGCAGTGCAGAACATGTCTAGACAACCAAACTACTTGGCTAGGTTTAGGAAAAGATCATGGTTTGGGTTCAAATAAGTATGTTTGAACAACTTGGTCAGGTTTAAGAAAAGGTTGTGGTTGCTGCTGCCAACCATCCAATTGCGGAACGGTGCAAAACCGCCAGTAGAAAGGTTTATATAAAACTCTTAAAAACATTGCTCAATAGCGCTACCAGTGGTCAAAAACTCCACAGAGTACCTATAATTAACTAGGAGCGGCTCCTCACTAAAATGCGAATTGCTGGTCCACTTTTAAAAGGTCAGCCCACCTTAAGTGAGCCATGGCGGGAGTTGTTGCTAACTATTGGGGCTAACAGCGTAGGCACAGCTACGGGAGCAATTTTGGGGTTAAGTGTCTTGCTCAAGGACACATCAACATGAGACTAGCAGAGCCGGGGATCGAACCGTCGATCCTCTCCACTTAGCCACAGTCGCCCACTCTGTCACGCGGAAACCCTGACAGAGTTAACCGACAGACACACTGCTGACAACCTCGCAGCTCAACCAATAGAGTGTGGAATACTTTCCGTGAAACGCGTCCGCATGCTTCCGCGACAACTGCTACAAGATCTCGACCAACATTATGATGAAGTAGGTGGGCTTCGTGGAAACAAAGAGGTGGGAACGTTCCTTTAACGCTCTTAAAGCCAGCCTTCTGCTCCATTTTTGGCGAGAGTCTGGTTAGCATCACCGTGTCGAGACACAGCCACGGATGTGTGTTTCTGTTTTCACTGAGCTGGAGGTAATTGAGGAAGTCTGGCTCTCTCCTCGGGAGCTCTCCGCCGCTCAGCGGGAGCCGTGTTACTAGTGAACCAAACATCTCACATCTCCCTCCTGCTTTCTCCCTCAACTCTCTCCGTTTATGTCCGTCCTCACATGCCTCTCTTCCTCACTCTGCCTTCTCCTTCCTTTTCTAGCTTCACCCGGGGCTGTGTTTACGTCCGTCAGCAACACCTCCTCGACCTCCATATCACAAGACAGCAGCTAAGTAGCCCTCCTGCGTGCATGCAAATGAGGTAATCTGTTTGGCGGACTTTCCCAAGAAAAAAATCCATTCTCACCTGGAACTGGCCGGTGTAGTCGTCGTCCGCGGTGCCCTCTCTGCCCTCCTTCAGCGCGATGAGGGTGAAACCCCGGAAATATGAGGGGCTGGTTGCCAGGAGGATCACTGTTAAAGTAGAAGAGCGAGTGCGGTGTGTTTAACTCCACATTAGACAGTAAAAGGGGCACATGCATCTGCACATTGGGGTCACGCCGCGTGACACAACATGAACACAACATTAAGAGCAGCATCCCCGTGAGCATCGGTGTGATGTGGAAGAGTGAGGGGCTGCATGAACAGAGCTTTAGCATCCCACACAGAGAGCCTGTACATTCCACACGAGGAGTTCAGTGAGGGGGGGGTACAGGCCGGGAAGGATTTTATTCGGCTCACACTTGTGCCCTAACCTTGACTTTTCATACCATTCATCTTAGAATCTGACAGGGAAGATGTCAATATTTTCAACCTTATCCAGCATTCTTGGTTTTTTAAGCATCAAATATGTTCACTTTAAAGGCTGTGTAATAACTTCTATTTTTGTGTTGTCCTCCACAGGTCTCTGATAGCTGATTCGAACTTAACCTTGGATTGCTGAATGTGGCGTCACAAATTCAAATAATTGCATGATATGGAAAATGATGTCAGTGGGGAGACTTCTCCCCCCATCACATCACTGTTTTTTTTATTTCTATTAACAAAGTTTGGATTTTAAAAAGCAGAGTAAGTGAAAAAGTTGAATTGGATTGTTGCTGGTTGTTGAAAACTGCTTGTTAACTTCTAATCTTGCCAAAAAAAACAAAAAAACAACGTGAGTAGACCAAAGTTGTACTTTTTTTCATGCGGACAAATAAAATCCACCAGGCAGGACAGGAACATTTAATTCCTCAGGATCAGCTTAATTGGAGCCTCTGTGCCGGACCCTTAGTTTGCAGGGAGAGGAGAGGAAGTGAATTTCCGACAGTAAAACACTGAGCCTTATCAGGCCACAACTCTCCCCGCAGGAGCCAGAGGAGCATGGTTTGGAAATTGTGTCCTCCAGGCTGCGATTTCTAGTCAAATTTTAGATTAGGCTACTTGCAATGTAGACACGCTCATGTTTTCTCTTTAAGAATACAATGAATTTTAGAGTACATATGCCCTGTTTACCAACTTCACAAACACTCCACTTAATGTGGCGCAGCGTTACGCACCGATTGCGCAGACGGACTGGTAAGAAAAAAAAAAGTATACCTCTGTAGGTGCTGCCCGGCTGATAGCTTTCCGGGTCCCCCTCCACTCTGAGCCTGAACTCGTGGTGCCCGTCCCGCCGGGTCCCCTGGGTCTGCGCCCGGAGAATCCGTCCGCAGTAACCGTCCAACCTGCCGCCTGCGGGCTCCTCCACGAAGGCGACGGCGTTGCACAGGAAACTCGAGACTAAATAGCAGTGCAAAAACAGCACATGGAGATACATTCCCATCTCGGAGTCCGGAGATGAGTGTGTTCAACCAAACAAAAAATTACTAAAAAAAAAAAACAGTGGAAAGGCGAAACAGCGGGCAGAGGATCAGCTCCAGCCCCCTTCCACAGGAACTCCAAACCTAACTACAGCGGCGTGACAGTCAGTGGTAAAGGTGAAGAGAAGGAGACGAGTCCATCCTGAACTGGAGAGAGAGAGAGAGCGCGTCAGGGGCGCACCACGTTGAAGCGCTGCTGAGCGGGTGTGAGAGAGGAGCTGCTGCTGCTGCTGCTGCTGTTCCCGGATCAGTGTAATGCGTTGACTGAGAGCCTGGGAAGCAACGGGGTGGGGGCTGCCAAATAACCGAGTGCGGGTGCACGCGGTTGTCTTCTTGATTTTTAGGAGAGGGAAGGTCCAAAACTGGAGCTCTGCACTTTTACCAAGAGCCAGCCAGCCCTCCCCTCACACACAAACACACACGCGTACAGTACACGCGCAGTCTGTCTGTGCGCATATCTCTCACGCGCCTACTGGGGAAACATAAAAATGTCCTGCTCGCTGTTCAAAAGCGACAGCAGATTTTTTTTAGAGCAACATCGTTGTACCGAAATATTTTTTTACCGTACTGTCCGGTGCGTATTTACGCATTATCTGTGTCGCTCTCATGAGAGTTTAACGTGTTTTATGACCAAACGAGCAATGAGCATCATCACACAAAACGCAGTACTGTTCAATGCTCTGAAGTTACAAATACACCAGAATACAGTATGAGCCGCGTGCCCCTCTAATTACAGAAAAACGTGATTTAATGAATTGCATACTGAACCTAAATGAATTGAATTCTAATAAACCTTAAGGTGTTTGGATGTATACGCTCCATAAACTGCTGTCACTTTGTTTTTTGATAGTTTTCTTGTGGATTAAATGCACACTTTTCTGTATTGACATCTGGTGTGTACACGACGCTTTCTCCTAACGGGCTGACAATAAATCCCTCGTAAACACTTTCACAAGACATGTATGCATTTTTACAATAGGACAGGGTCTTATGGCCAATAGGGGTCGCAAGAGCATCTTTGCACCTTTGGGTCCTCCAGAGATACTTAGTAAATGTGTCAGTCACCTCATCACTGCACCCTTTACTCTCCCATCTCAAGTTTTAATACAGCGCAGGGAAAAGTGCGAGGGATTATGGAAATGGAGGCTTTAAGGTTTCATATTAAATGTGTAGTTTTGAATCAGCTGAAGCATATTACGTTTAAGTTAATTTTTTTAATCCATTTCCTTTTTGTGACATTTCTTCATCCTTCTTTATTCTGTGTGAATTACAAGGATGAAAAAAACGTATTAACTTTGCTTGTATATTTACAGTACTACAATCAAATGTTCGCGTGTGTGTTTGTGAATAATAAAACCTCATGGAAATGAGCTGGATCAAATAAACTTGCACCAAAACCGATTCGCTCACGTTTATGGGGCTTTTCGTCCAAATGCCAAACATGTGTGTGTGCGTGTGTATGTGTGTAAACCTGAGGAGTGTTACCCAACTGAAAGCAGAGAGCTGGAGATGGTTAAACCAAACAGCCTGAATGTCTCCGCGTGATGGATCCCATCTGGAGTGAGTCTGCACTATAAACTTTCTGACGGATGGCTGACGTCTGTTGCTTACACCCTCGGCTGAGAAGTGGCGTCAAAAACGACTCACTGGAAGATCAGGATGAAAACAACCTGTTTGCACACCAGCCAGTAACATTCCTCCGTTAAAAACATCCAATTCAGTTTGAGGAAATCAGTGTTGCTGGGAAATCGTCTAGCTTCCCCCGCTGAACAACGTGAAGTTATTCTTTTATTTCATAGTTTTTTTTATTATCGAGTATTATTAATTTAATATATTATTTTTTGTAATTATTTGTTTATTAATTTCTGTTTCATTGTCTAATGCTCTTTGCCTATTAGAGTTAATCGACAATAATACGTAAACCTAGAGTAAGACACGGATTTTAATGGGTTTTTCTGTCTGTTTTGTTGTCCTTGAAAATATAAAAAAATGGAGATACATTTGTTACTTTTGATACTGCATTTGTACCTACATCTCAAGTAATAATAATACCTGTATGAGAAAAAACTCCCGCAGTATCAATATTAAATAAATGTCTGAATAGATGAGTAAAATGCTGTCTCTTTGCATACAATGCCTGGTTTTTCAAAGTCTTGCCGCAACCCTAATAACATATGCATTTGTCTTTTGTCAACTTGCCTGCTTGAATAAAACTTTCATGAGGGTAATATGGTTGTGAAGCAGGAAGCGCAGGCCAAAAGGGTGTATTAAATATGAAAATTGCACTGATCTTAGTGTGGGGAAGTCATTTCCTCTAATGGACTCCAAGGGTCCTGAAAAAGCCTTCAATATTGCGCTCAAGTGTGTAATAGAAATTCTAATCATTTTACAAAGCGTTTTGTTTTATTCTCCTCATAGAAGGCATTTGCTTTATTTAGGTCCTTTTTTCTACCGCAAGTAATGAAAATAGATTTGATGTATTAATATATAGGTTGTGTGAGGAAGGGGGTTTAACCTTCCTCAACCTGCCAACCTACGCCTAACAATTAGAGCTACTCTACGATTAGTAACTGGAAAACTGTGGCTGCTCTAGGGCTGGATGGTGTGTCTGTTTTAATCCAAACCATCTAAACTTGCCAGGCTAGACATTGGGTTTAGTAAAAAAAAAGACTCTAAACTGGCCACCCAAAATATTACGCAGTTTGCTGCAGCAGAATGCGAGATTAGCCGTGGACAGACACAGAGGTGCACACTCACTCACAGACGCAAGCACTGGTAGCGCGGCAATACTGATATTGTGCATACTGGCTCACTTATAAAAGTTACTGGAACACTGAATATTATAAAAGGTACACCTGGGCTATACCCACTACAATAAATCCAAATGTATCATGTGAGAAAAGGTCAACTCGTTTTGTTTCCATGTGAAGAAAACATTTCACATCTTCAGAGTGAAGATTTGTAGATAATGCTAGACACTTTTTTAAAGATTTTTGAATATGGAGTTGATTGTGATGTTGTTTCTGTAGTTAGATATTTGATGTCATGGGTAATCAGATATTATTGGCCAAAACCCACAAGTCTCGTCATTTGCAACCGACCAATGAAAACCACGTATCCACATTTTAGTGATTTTTAGATTACAGAACACCTCAGATACTTTTTAACATTCAAAATTTCTACTTTTCTAATGATATAGTCTGGAATTTGAAGTGCCATGACTACATTACGCGATGTACGTGACAAAAACATCAACACTGAACTCTGTTTCACATGTGTAACAATCAGCGGTCTCCTCGCTGAAAGAGAGCTGTTTGTTGGGCCCATCCACCTCCCCTCCCACCTGCCCTGTTCGGGCTTTTATGGTCCTACTTCCTCGATCATGATTACGTGGATAAAAATATACATTTTTTCATGGGATATCTATGGTTTACGGCACACTTTTTTTCGCACGTATAGCAACAAATGCTGGACGACACCAGCCTGCAGATGCACGCAGGCTGGAGCGGCTACTTAAGCAAAGCATAGAGAAGCTCTGATTACAACACACAGAGGGAATCCAACTTTATTCACTGTCCGGGTCAACATTCATGCACTACATATTTACATAGCAATTAGTTTTTGCCGATATATTAATGCTCCAAACTGAGTGCATCGACTTGAGCACCTTTAAGCCATTGTGCTGAAATATTATATCTGGTGACATGCAGGAGCACGTAGTCATATCACGGCAGGAAGCTTTTAAAGTAGTGCAAGGAGCCGGTTGCCCTTTGAACCAAGTTTTATAATGACTTTCCTCTCTGTAATACACAGAAGGCTATAGGCTTGCTACGTTATCCATTTAACAGTGGAGGGCTCAGAGCCAGATAGTCAGAGACAAATGAGATCTATATGCCAAATTAAAGCATGTGATGAAATTCACTGTATCCAATACTGAAAGCAAATTGGCAAAAGTTGAACTAAGTGGGGTAAAATACCCAAAAGCTGAGGAAGGTGTATGTACAGTATATTGGATCTCTTGTAAAAAGTTAGTTGAAACCTTTTAGCCCCAAGGCCAAGCAGCCAACCCTCTTCTTTGCTCTGTTGAGGAAACATCCATTGGTCGTGTCATTGTGTATGCCACACCTGTGTTGGATTGGTTTGCTACACATTTAGACAAGAGTATTTTGTGCGTGCAGAAATAGTCTAAGATCTCAACTCATGAAAATAGGAACAAAAACAAGCGTTACATTTACTTATTTATAGTGTGTTTTTGTTCAGTGTAAATACACCAAAAGGAGACGTGCGACTTTACCGTTGGACATCCCGACACGGTGTCATCTACGCAATTTTTATAATGTGTGATTTCATAAAATCAGAGTTCTGCTTTGTGAAACATGACAAATTTATCGGAAGAACTGGGTGAATTGTAAAAAGTCCGTTTGATAAGTTAATTTACATTTTAAATGAAAGGGTAAAGTCTTCAATTGTTTCCTACTTTGGGAGGAAACCCTCCTTTAACATGTTAACATCCGCTCCTTATGAATTGATTTAGGATTTTCTTTAGGAGGCATAGACACACTAACTCATTCGGCCAACACGATTAAGCATAATTCTTAAATGACAGTTCTCAAAGCGGCCGTATGGCCAGTGATCGGATATTTATCTGATTTAGGACCACATGAAAAAAAAGAAAAAAAAATCGGATTTATATGTCCACATCACAAAATTCCTATATGTGTCACATGAGAGCAAATAAATCAGATTTGGGCAAAATATTCTTGTTTTGTGAACGTAGTGTAAGTGTATATGTCTGTGCACTTACGTGTGACTGTTGTAATTAGACAGTACTCTATAGTCACATACTAGTTTTGTTGATGTAGACAAAATAATCTTGTGAAAAAGACCTTAATGCTGCACTAATCAATATTTGTATATCTCCAATGGATCGAATGACGTGAAAGGTGTCACCCATAGTGACAAACCCACAATTATCTCCCGCAGTTCCATTTAGCTCTACAGACCTTTTTGTTATCTTTTAGCTCACTGTTTTGTTTTGTTTACAGTCAGTGTTGGCACTCTCATCAATCTTGTATTAATTGATGGGAAAGTATGAAGACTTCATCTTTTTTTGGATGGCTTTAACTGGTGCGGAGTAGACCAAGCGTTTCACCTGTTTGATAACACAATGTTGAATTTCCATTAGCTCACCACCCACCCAGTGGGTTTGTTGTTGCCTTGATATCAGCTCTTACCTAGTAGCTCTTTTCCTCCACTTTTTACATTTGTTTGTATCTTGTGGACATGAAGGCAGAACATATTGAT